TTTTTGTCGCGATACGTAAGTGTACGTAGGATGCTCTCTGCGATACGTGGGCTCATCTTCGAGGTATGTCAAGGAAAACGAGTGTGCCGAGCGATATTGGAAAATGTCGTGAAGGCCTTTGTGCATCGCGATACGCGTGGGATACACACAATGTACACACAACGTGAGCACAATGCCGAATGATTTCGCTGATTGTTGGCGCAGCGTGATACCTTGAGGACGCGAACGCTCCTCGAAAGTCGAGAACAAGGTGGGAATTAAGGAAACATTCGTACGATCTGATCGGCGATCTGATTGCAAAATGACAAAAGAGAATGTCAGAGAGATGTTTCACGATTCGAAGCTTCTTGAGAATACTTGTGTCCTTTCAAAATCCGAGATACTTAAGAAGAGCCTCACGTTTCTTTTATTGCTAAGGTCGTATAATCTGTAAACGTCCATTTTTTTTCTCTCCATGATTAGTTCGCGACGGTAGACATGGGTGCATCGAAATCGAAGACGAAAAATATATATAATTTACGGAGACCTTGTGTGAGTTTTTAGACAGTCAAGCGCTTTAGCCTGAGGTTGCTGCTAATTAATGGAGCTGTAAACCTGTCAAATAATTTACAAAATACGTTAAATTTCATAAATAACTTTTATTTTTAAGATGCAACGATATTGCTTCTCATTTTATAATTATTTCCATTTGTTTTATAAAATTATTATATTTACAACGGTTGAATCAGACTTCTACACCAGAAAAATTTATTAACAATTAATTAACAATTATTACGTAATCTCTTGTTATATAAAAATTTAATTATTAATTAATATTAATCTCAAATTAAATTCTTTTATTCTTGTATTTATTATTAGATATTAACTTAATTATATATACCTATTACTTTTATTAATATAAATTTATTTATATTTAGATGTACATAAAAAAATACTGTAGGATTTACAAACAAACGATTGAATTTAACACAAATACACCACTTATTTTCTGTTGAATTGTTATTTATTGCTGCAGAGCTATCTCGAGAATAATTTTACAAAGATACAACGAGCATTTATGGTGTGTGAAAATGAATATTGAAAAAAGTTAATTAGAGCAATAACCAGTAACCATCAACGTTTAAGATGCAATAAACGTGGTAGGTCTAATTCACAAGTTGTTGGACAAATGAAGACAAATTTCAGCACGTTAGGATCATTTTACTTTTCAAAAGGAATTAGCCGACAGACGTATTTTAAAATGCTCATATTAGATTTCCATAAGAGGCACGCCGAAAGCCGGATGTTGACCCTTCGGAGCTGAAAAGAGAAACTCGTTACATGATGTCTACATGGATCACGACCGAGACTTCTCTCTTCGCGCTCACATTAAGATGAACTTTCCACCTGCGGAGAGACGATAAAACAATGACAAAGCAAACATATGAATCACGTCACGATAATTTGCTGCTTGACAAGAATTACTGGTGAATGCATGTATAAATCTTCTTTTCTGATCCTCATCTTTCGTGAACATATCTATTTCCATATCTGTTCGTTTAAATGTGTTTTATAGAAACTGTGCGTTATAGAAACCAATGTCTGTGCATACTAAATCACGTGTCCGTGAGTGCAATTTCCAGAGAAAGAGGAAACAAAAAAAATTGCATGACGACTGCAGGCGATGGAGAGGGATTTAATGCACGAGCAATTTGATCAATTGCGATAAATACGAACTGCGATAATATGCTGTATTAGTCACGTGCTGCATTCAGGAGAATTGCAATTTCTCTCTTTCTCCTCTCGCGTTTATGCGTTACTATGGGCCACACTTACCTACTGATCCATATTACTCAAGCGGCGGTACTCAAACGATCGTGAGAAATTTAAAAGTTCGGATCATTTGGAAAATTTATCAGTTTTTGGATTTTAAAATTTAATATTAAATCAAGAAATATTCATGTATTGTATGTCCTGAAAACTTTAATGTAAAGTAAAATTTACTTTTTTAAGATATCTATTCATCAAACAAATAATTTTTATTTCCTCTGTTCTTTTGCTTTCTTTATTCTTAACCTTTTTATTTTTTAATTATAATTTTATCTATGTGGCTTCCCTTATTTTTCATTTAATTTTATTTCCTCTCCTTTTTATTTACTCTCCTGTTGTATAAGACATTAAAATAGGCAAGTAAATATTCAATGTGATAACGTAATAAAAATTTTTAATTGATTATATCAGAAATGTATATAATGTAAGAAATATATTTGTACTAGTAATATTTTCCTTAAATATTAGTAGAATTTATTATAAATTATAAAAATAAATGGCAAGCATATTGTTGTTTTTGCATGTTAATTAATTATTAAAAATAACATAATTTTGTATTATAAATAACAAAATAATTAAATATATAAATATAAATAATTAACAAAATATTTTTTTATTTTCTCCCGCCGTTACTTGTCCAGAATCTCTGAAAAAGTGAAAGTAGATTCTTTGAAATATTTGAATCTCTATATTTCTTCTACAAAGAATACTCCGCACAATATTCCACAATAATTGTGTACACATTAACATATCTATAAACATTAACATATCTACACTTATTTAATAAATGCAAATTATTTTAAAATTTGATTTTAATAGTTGTTCTGTTACAGGCTAATGTAATTTGTTCCTATTAATCAAAATTGCATGTCAGATAATTTATAAAGAATTTATAAAGAATAATTTGTAAAGAAATAACATTCGGAGAAAGATAGCACTTAGCGACAATAGAAAATTATTAATAGTATTAATATCTCGATCGTATGCACTATTCCAAAGGTGTTCAACTGTTGCGGATAGGAAGAACTGATTGTTGATTTAAAGCAAAAAGAGATCAAAGAGATTTCGTCAGAAAGGGAACACGTGGTACTTGCGGCCCGCGCTCAGAATAGGACGTTACACAGGTGTGCATCGTCGTCGTCGTCATTTAACCGATCGACTTTCACTGGCGGGTCTCTGAACTCACTGGCGGCCTCTCACGAAGAACGCTTCTTCCGGTTTGTCCCGAACCGGCCTCTCGTTCGTGAACTTGAAAATTAAACCGGCTGCCGTCGATGAAGTTTCGCGCGTCTCCGGAATCCCGTTGATAAAGATCTGTACTCGATAATTAAAACTTGCTTGCACGAGAGAGAGAGAGAGAGAGGGGGGGGCGAGGGAGAGGGAAGGAGAGAGAGAGACCGAGCCAGAGCGGAACAATGGTATAACAAAACACGTATGAAAATGCAGTAAATACTGTGACTTTTCTGACAAGTCATTTTAAACGGAAAAGGACAATTATGGTTGACACAATTTATTTAATCCGTAAGTAGGCAAGAAGGGACAATGCAATATCTCCGAAATTTTTGCAGTGATGCACTTTGTAATAATTTATATCAAGGAAAATTTTCAAGTTATTGTGGTAATGATGGCTATTTTGATATAAATAGTATTTATTTTTTAATTTAATAAAAATGATTAAATGCAATAGATGAAGAAGCACATTAAACAGAAGAAGCGTTTGGAACTGCACGCAAAGCAAGACAAATCGGTGCAAATATTGCCATTAAGAATATCGCCATGGAATCTCCACTCCGTTGTTTCCAGTTTATACAACGACAGCATAAAATTATATTTTTAGTGTGAGGCTCATAATAAGTGGATTAATTTAGACTTAGAGAAACGAGTCTCTTCGTCATAACAGCTAAAGAATGAGGTTGTCTTTATCCACATTCTTTAAGAGTTAAACGAAAGTGTTTATGTTATTTATTAGAGATTTTTATTTATTTTTTATAAGATAATTTTATTAATGTTTATTCTTTATGAAGAAAAAAGGTAAATTTACAAATCTGCAAATTTCGGACTCTCCAAAAAATCGAAGGATCTATAAATTTATGAGATTATATGTCCTACAATTCAATATCGCTATATGAGATATTCGCATATAATTTGAAAATCTGATGGGAATTATACAAGTCCGAAAACACGAAATGAAAGTGGTGTAAAAGAAATGAAGACCGAAATATGAGTATTGAGAAAGTATTAAGAGGAGAGGAAACCAGAGATAAAGATATAATGACGTGGTCCAATCGTCGTCTCGAATGTGTAAATTCTTCTTATGGCGTGGTAATTGGAACGAACGGAAATAACGCATTATTGCCATAAATTAATTTCGTCATGCAGCATAAATAAAGGTTGCTTTAATTTGTAAAAGAACCCGATTTAATTTATTTTTATTTCCTGATGAACACGTTCTTCTATACCATTACGTCTGTTTCTCTCTCTCTCTTCCTCTGTCCCTCTCTGTTCTCTAGCCGATTAATAACATATTATCGGTAACTCATATAAATAGTATTCTCCTAAAAGTTGTTTAAACTACCTAATGAATTTTTTTTGCTAAACGATATCTCTGACATTTAAACTGAGAACTGGGATTTGCATAGAAACTACAAATTAAATACAGGTCCTCTGTCTCATATTTTTGGACCGCCAAAAAATGAAAGACGAATATCTCGAACGGTTAAAAGAATTCTGAAAAAGAACTCTCTGAAAAGAAGCCCGTTTTTGTTATATAAATATGGCATAGTTTCCTCTTCCATTTAACACTTGTGAATTGTGTACGGAGACGTCTTCAGTTGCGTGTGTATTTTTTTTCGCTCGTGTAAATAAATCGTAAAAATAGAAAAAGGGTGAACTTCCTTCCGGAAAGATTGAACATTGTGATCACACATTTATTATGACGGACAAATTAATATATATTATAATGACAATTTAATATAAATAATTTTAATCACCCCAAATGTCTCCCTTAAATCTCACGGATACCGAACGATAGAAGAAGGATCAGCCTCCCCTCTCTCACCGGAAGGGTTAAATGCGGACGTCTCGCGTCTTCTACGGAAGAAGACGAAGGCGGGCGCGATAAGTAGGTCGGAGAGAAGTTTCGCTCATACGTTGATCGGGCGCACGAGGAGCCGCCGGTCGAGCGGCTCCGTCAGTCTCGCGAAGATATTCCGGGAGTCAACAGGTGCGATAGGGAGCCTCCGGAGAGAGACCCCTTTTTCTCCTCTTTCTTCGTCACTTTCGTCACGCGTTTGAAGAGCCGGTGGCAGAGACACCGCGATTCGCGCGACGTTTCTCAATTCGCGACGAAAACCAGTGACAGCCGCATATCATGCAGTCCTGAAGAAAGTATCTTCGTGTTTTTCCCCCTGCGGAGATCTCGTGCACGTTTCTCTGCGCCGCCTCGTAATCTTTTATTATTTATCGCAGAGATTGCTAGGAAATTCAGGAAACAGCGACGATGAAGAAATGCCAGGTAAATATTTCTCTTTTTTTCTCTCTTTTCTACTTTTATCGTTAAATATACATGTGACGCGTCGCGAGTTTAGGATAGCGTGATTTTCGTAGAAAGTTCTGCGAATTGTATCGTGCGCGGTTCAATAAATTGTTAAACAGGAAGAAACGTGGAAACTGCGCGGCCAAACTGTGCTTTTTTTTAATCAATTTTGTGAAAAATTAGTTTCTCAATCGTAAAATATTCAGCATTACGCAATTAATTAACGCCTATTTAGAGAAATCGCTTTTCCAGGCTAAAGTAAGCAATTCTTTATTGCTTCAACAACTAGGTGTGACTTTACCTCTTTTACGTGATATCTAGAAAATTTTAACAATCTCACCTGCAAAAACTTTTATGAATGAAACATTAATAGGATAGAAGCAATAATGATTAATTAATTGGCAAAAAGTGCGGATGGGCTGTTATTTCCGTCGATTACGTAAATATACACGGGCGGCTTATCTCTGTTCGTGATCGGTGCAATAATGAGCCGTGAACGATACCGCACGGTTGATCGCGGGTTAATCTCGATCATCTCACGACGCCCGTGCTTAATCGATCGGCACGCGTGACGAAACCCGATCTTCACGATCAACGATCGGCGATAGAGCGTGGGCGGTTTCCAGACGAATGAACGCGACGGTCATCGGGAAAAAAAAAACTAGATCTAGGCTTAATTGCCGTGCAATTAATGTCGACCCGTGGATTTTCTGGAGCGGAAACCACGAGTGACATGCATCAGTGTGCCATGCGTATCGTTGCGCTGCATATTTCTTCGCCTTAATGCGTATATAGCATTAAACTAACTGAGATCCTTTTATGTTTCGCACGAAATTCGGTCCGTCAAATGGAAAATGTATACATCATTTTTCGAAAATAAATATATAATAAATGGTTAATTAATTATTAATTATTAAGCGGTTTATTAATTATTAAATGATTAATTATTAAACGTAAGGTCTTGAATGTTGGCATAAGATTTTAGATTTAAACAAAAAGACATACAAATCATAAAAAAGAAAGTCATAAAAATATAAAATTTAATGTAGTGTAATAAGATAGAGACAATCTTAATAGCTGAAGAAATAATCTCAAGTATTTTAATTAATAAATTTGCCAAAATTATTTTCTAAACGCGATAAAATATAATTACTCATTGGATTTCTATTTACATTCGCGCAAGGTTCCAAATTATTTTAAACGTAATCTATAGCTTTGGGAGAATAATCGACCTTTTATTCTTGAAATGCTCTTAAAAGTGTAATTTCTAATCAAGTCGATTAAATCCTAATTCTTGAATCTGTAATGTGTATGAGACAAATAAATGAGCAATTGCTATCGAAATTAATACGAGAGATTGCAAAAAGTACTCTTTCGGCCACGTATCAATATCAGATATCAATAGTTGTCAATCGTCTATCGAAAGTCATCGGAATGGAAAAAGTGGATCGTTTCGCATACTCCCTGCTGACGTATATACATATATATGGCACGATACGTACGCGGCCATATAGTAGACGAGTTAACGCACGCGCGTGTTTCGCGCAAAACGTGCACGGGGAAAGCATGTCGTTCCATTTCACTTGTTGGCGGAGCGCGCGCTCGGTCCAGAGCCACCTTTCACGATTTTATTTCATTTTATCCGCTTTTTGCGCGTGCGCGATTAGAAAGTATTTTTTTTCCCCCGCCGTAACACACGTCGAACTTCAAGCGCACGTACTTCAACGGCCGGATGTTCGGACGTTTTCTCGTTAACGAGGACTTTGAGTGATTTCGAAAAGTTGCACTCCAAATAATGACAATCTCCAAGGAAACGAGACTAATAGCACAAATTTTTATTAATTAATTACTGGCGCGACCATCGATCCCCCCTCCCCTCGAGAAGGCGGACGTTCTGCTATCTACTTTAATGATCTACATATTCGTATTTCTTCGCGAGCACTCCGTGTGTTACGATTCTATCACCTAGTTTCGATACGTCGAGATGATATTTTATAATTCACGCAATGTGTCAGCTGCAAATTTACAGGTGCAATCGCGCGATTGTTAGCTGCGCGTAATTCCAATCAGGGGTAATCGTCACATTTTAGATAATAGAAAGTAACCCGTCGTTCGGTTACTACATTGCTATTTTCTAATGCCGGGAAAGAATGCCGGCAATCTCGAGGGGCTATTAAATTTCTCTTGGCGCCGAACCGCTCGAGCGTTGCCGCTCCGATGACTCGGCCGATTCATCCGTTACGAATAAATCGAGATGCGCGCTGACGCGAATTCGCGGGACGCGACTCGAAAACCACAGCAGTTAAATGTTTGCCGGTGTATTTGTTTGCGGGCAGATTGCGGGGCTTCTAGGGACTCGTGTGAGAGGCCGACTTTCGAAAACCTTTTTTTTTAAAACTCATTTCGCATTCCGGTCGTCTCCGTTTGTTCTTCAATCGTCGAGGCGCAATCATGCATGGTACGCAACATCAGATGCACACGCTCACGCAAGAATTACAGCGCGCGCAGTATCTCTGATGAGGCGTCGCGTCACCCCGTCGTGTCGATGAAAATTATCAAACAATCGAAGTCAACCACTGAAGAAAAATTGCAACTTTACACAGATCTAACGTAACATTTCCCAATCATGTTTTTTTTCTAAATTTCGTCGGCCACTATATATTAGTTGAAAAAAGTTTGGATACGAAATCTACTATAATATCGTTAACGTTAAGCATTATTAATCTAGAATAACTAATCCATCACAATATAACAATTATTTTGATTGGAAAAGCTAAAGTCAGTATAGAAAATATAATTTGACAGTTTCAAGAATTATATGATGGATTTTATATTACGCAATTTAATTTTATTTCAGATTATCTCTCTTCTGTTCTTCGTGGCCTTGACCCTTGGCACATGCTATGGCGAATTACCCAAACCAGGCTATACCAGGACGATGTTGAAGGTCTCTCGCAGTCTTCCGGGTGAAACGGAAGAGCTGAAAGTGCGAACGAGCGAAGGCAACGTGGCCACTTTGATCATCAAGCGACGAGACAAATCATCGTTCAATGATTCAAAACCTGCTCGAGAAGATTCGAATTTTATATTAGAAAATAAAAGAAATTTTTCGATAAATGCACAGAATGAATCAGTGCTCAATGATGAGGAAAACGAAGCCAAAAGGAAGGATGAGGTTCGAAGACTCGAGGAAGCTCAAGTGGAACAGATCAGGGCGACGATCTCCAGATCTTCGGAATCAAAAAATAAAAAGCCGGACATCGATCGAATCGATAAGAAACCGGCATCTGAGAAAAGTCAACCTATCAGTGTAATCGATTATGGTAGTTGGACACCGTTGGATGCGGAGGGAAGAGCCTTGAAACTAGAGACGCCGGGAGAAGAGGAGGAGTATCGAAATTGGAAACCGTTGCCGGTAAACTTGGAGTCCACCGTCGAGGAGAGAACGAACTACGACAGGCTGGGCGAGGCTGGACTCGGCAGTATCCTGTTTGCCAGGAACTTCCAGGACCGAGCTCAGAGAAATCTCGAGCTTAACGATCAAGGTGTTGCGAACGATGGGTTTCATTACATGTATATACCTCATATAACGTCTACGAGGACAAATATTGGTGCCAACCTGTTGAAGAATCGAGATGGTAAAGCTGTACCTCCGGAGGTGACTGTTCGTTCGGAGATCAACGTGAAGACCGTGCCGAAGAGATCGCCTATGTCGCTGGACATCGACGGCACGCCAGTAATTCATGGTACGAGAGTGCCCGACGAGCCTATCGACAAGTTGCAGACCTGGCGAAACGCTCGAGTTATCAACAACAAGCTGATAACACCTGAAGGCAGTCCGACGGTTACCGCGGATCCTCCCGTTGAGCTTTTCGGTGATAACGCGGAGAGGCAGAAATTCGAGAAGTTCTTTAAGGATATTAATCGAAGGTAAGAAAAGATACGGCTTGTAGAAAATTAGTCAAATATTGCTTGAGTATCGGCAAAGAAATTTTAAGAGTGTTAAATAAAGACTCGCCAATTACAACTACTTATCAAATCCACATAAACATAGATGCTGATAAAATTTAATAATTATATCAATCATTTTAATTATTTATTAATTACAGATTATTATATTGTTACATTTGACAATATTCTTCACAGTTTTCTCATTTTGCCTTACGCCCGACAGGTACGGTCGTAATTACGACGAGGAAGCCCGCAACGTGTACTTCGAGTGGGATCCGAGAAATTACAAAAACGAAGCCTTGAAGGCTGAGGTGTACGAGCCACGTAACGACCATTACCGCGCGAGTGTCCACAAGAGGATGCTGCATCCGGACGGCGTCGCGAGCTACCCGATCTCTCAACGTTACACTCCCGAAAGTCAGACCATCGCGCCGGTAGCGCTGAAGGCCGGCGCCCGCGCGCCGGTTCTCCAGTACGCCCATCCGGAGCTGGGCGTGCAACCGGCTAAGATCCTGAAGAACGAGAAACGCCGACCGGACAATTTCCCGGAGAATCAACACTCGTTCACCGAGCAACGTCACAAGAAGAAGTACGTGCTGAACAATAAGAACATCGTGGACAGCTACACCACGAAGAACTACTATCCGAATCAGCACTTCTACGGCTTGAAACGACCGTACGAGCCGCCTTTCTGGGTGAAAATCTCAGAAAATCTGAAGAACCAGTTCTCCACCGGAGTCGAGAGGGTCTCGCAGTTTACCAGGCCGGTGATCGATCCTTTGGTGGAGGCTACTCACAAGATCTCGCAGAATCTCGGTCTGTCTAAGGGCAAGGAGGCTCAGGACAAGATCGACACGATGGCGTCAGGTACCAGTATCCTAATACCGGCTCTAGGTCTCGTCGCATCTGGCGCCGCCCTCGGCATAGGCGCCGTGGCGGTCGGACGGTATCTCGATGTCGACGTTTTGAAACGATCAAACGTGGACGACGCCGATTTAGAGCACAAGCGGGCTTTGGAAACTGGAGCGTACTTAGGAACGCTCGAGGACGAGAATGTAAGATCGAATGAAGCGACGCCGCAGACCCTGTACATTCTGCAAAACGTCCCCCAGGACGACAAAGCGGGAAACGAGGGCACGAACTCGGCAGAAAGCGACGGGGTCTTCTTGGTCCTGGAGGAGGACAAGCGTAACGCCGAGAGGATTGAAAATCGGGAGAGTAAACAAGTGGTGGACGAAGCTGATTACGTGGAGACTCATAGACGTAAAAAAAGAAGTCCTGACTATCTAGATATCTTTAAGACGGACGCCGACATGAAAAATCTGGTCCGCAGCAAGCGTTTCCAGAGGAAAGGGGCCGATTCCATCAGCGAGATCGTGGAAATTGATCTGCCTGCTGACTCGGATCGCGTCGACATCACCGAATTTCTAATTCCAAAGAAGAATAAGGAGAAACACCTGAATAAAAATGCTATTCTAATTGTCGAAGACAGCTTGAAGATTCCATCAGAAAATCTTCAAGTAGATATGTTGAATCAGAACGGATTGACAAACGCCGCGGCTTCGGTAAATGAAGATAATGGACGAAGAAGAAATCAGAGAGCCGACGGTACTTCTTTCGTGTTGGACAGATCGCAAGTTCTCGGGAGTGATCTCGAGAAGGAAACAACAAACAGGAGACGAAAGCGAAATGTCGAAAGTGACCAGGAGCTTCTGGACACGTTGCAGAATCTGGAGAATGCGGAAGTCGCGGAAGTTGCTCACATACCGGGCGATTGGACAAATACGCCCTGCGCTAAGAGGATATTTTGCGACACGATGATCGAAAGAGGTTCCGATGCCTCGGTGCTAATGGAGAAAAAGATGGCAGCATTACTGAGACTGTGAGTACTTTCGATCTATTACATTTTCTTATCTATAAGAAACGGAAACATTTCTATTTTACTATTTTACGTTCGGAAATCGTTGAAAATGACCTTAGAACATAATTATTATAATATAATCGGATGGATACGCAATTTATGTAAATTTAATAGATTATTTAAAATTGAAAAAATTTTGGTGGAATAAAAAATTATTACAATTATGCCTTTTACATTTCTATTTAGAAATTATTATCTTTTCTTGTTAGGTATTTGTTTGTCTTTTGATTCTTTCACTTAAAATTTTTGAGATCGTTGTTAAGGTACATACTGCATTTAAAATCCTTCATTTTTCTTACTTATTTTTATTAATATAATTTTTATTTTTTAAGTACAGTATTTAATTATTTCTATTTTTATTTTTGAAGTATATTATTTCAGTATTTGTTCAAAATTCTCATATAACAATGATTGATTGCAGTATTACATCAAAGTAAAATTTCTAATTAAAGATGTCATAATTAACGTGACAGTTTTTCTTCACTGTTGGCATTTATAAAATATAGAAGAGGAATACGCGTATAATATGCACATAGGTATATTGCGGTTACGCTTGCTTTATTAAAGATATTGCTAGCCGTTATTTGTTGGTAATGGTCACTCTCGAAATACAATGAACTATCGCATCGACTCTCGCCGTGTTCTCACGAAACCGTACAAGCCGATTTAATCGACCAGAACTATCAGGCACTCGAAGCGTCAACGAGACACCGATAACAGTCGGAACTATAGCCCGAGTGTATAACTTTCTTCCAGCTTTCGCCGACGACGTCCTACTGACTGATTCGACTTTTACCTCTTAGCACAGTTTCACTGTACGCGCACGCTGCCCCCTGTCCGCTATCGCGCTGGCCATGTACGATAGAAAAAAAATGGGCGAGAGAAAGAGGGAGAGAGAGAGAGAGAGAGACAGAGAGAAAGAGACTCAAACATGTTATCACGAAAACAAAAGAAAAGCAAAGACAAAGAGAAAACTCGCGTGCAGCTGTATGATAATTTACTTACTACGTCGCGTTCGATTCTCTTTCCAGTTCTTCCTAACCGTGTATATAATTCTCTACTGAGTCGCTTTCTGATGTGGTTTCATCAGTGTTATGGTAATTAAGCGAAATGTATCATGTCATTAAATAATTCACCCTGTTTAAAATTTGCATATTGGAAATATTTATATTCGTAACACATAATTATAAATTAATTAATTCGTAACGGATACAAATAAATTTTCACACACCTTTTTATTTATATCATTCCAATGTAATGAAGACTGTTTCACATGTCTTTTAGTTTCGAAAGTTAGAAATAGTTAGAATTCGGAAAACTTCGAGGAGTTTACAAGGTCTAAGGTTTAAGAAAGGTTTAAGAAAGACAAGTATCGCTTGAGATAAGTTCAAAGTGGGATAACAGAGCTTCTCGCGAGTAATTCCAACGATATTACGTGTTCGTTATATACGAAGGGATTGTTAATGACAAATATGGCATTTCCTGTACCGACAACACGTGAAATACACGCTATTTATTCAATTCGATTCACTGCAAACGCGTGCATCCATATACCGATGAGAGAGCGGCATTATATCATGTACTATGTTGTAATGCATACTATTCCCGAGCAAGCAGTTCTCACATACGTGACGAGAATTTGCGGGACAAACCGCATTTCTAAAAATAGCGAGAATTGCAATGTCCAATGAAAGAAGGACAATATACTTCCTTTGCCAGTTTTCTGCTCACGGTTATATACATTATGCCTCCAAGATTTTAAAACTTCTCTAAAACAAGTCCGTTTCTCTCAATTTCGTGCATTTAATTAGTCGATAAATATTAAATAAAAGTAGAAAATATTGAAATAAAATTTTACTAAAACAAATTTTATTTCTCTTTGCTTAGTTCGAGATTAACCTATCGTCACGTTTATATTCAAGAAGCATAATTAAATTTTACTCCATACAATTATAATGCATTATAATTAATAAATACTTAATTAGTCTTTAATTTACCTCAGGATGAAAGTACAGATACTTCCTAAATCAGATTATGTATCCCGAATCGGTGCGCCGCGCGCCCTAAAGAAAGCGAGTTAATTGGAGCGAGCGATCGTTAATGGAGAACACGGTGAGAAGATTAAAGATTCGCAATCTAGTGCACACCTAATTAGTAATTAACCGCGGTGCCGGTCATTTGTCGAAGTGTGTCTCCGACTTTCTAATGGTTCGCTATCCTATACACTAATCGACGTTCACGCGTACTTACAGAATCCAACCTGGAGCGGCCATACAGGTGTCCAGTCACTTCGAGGAGGTCATGGACGCTGTCAGAAGACACGATTGTTCCAGCTTCCTGTGCCCACAGGCAAGACCCGGCAACGTCTTCCTTTAGACACTTTCCTTGTAGTTCTCAAATTGCATTCATCGACTCATCTCCTACAAGTTGGCACTTTCAACTCTAATTCAGTTCTGTAAAAAAAGATATTCTACTCTTAGCATTTTGTTGCATTTGCATCCCGGAAAGGATCCTAATTAGTTAAATCCCCCTTCTTTTCTCGGACACAATGCACAAACTGCTCTCGTCTCGACGTTTCTATTATGGGACAATTTATTTCGATTATCAACGGAAAATATTCTTGCGTCAAAAATGCCAACAGGACATCTTATAAAATTATTAACAATGCGCGAATTCCTTAACTGCGTCAAATAACGAAACAACAAACAAATCAGCACGAAACATTTTTTTTACATAAAACTATAATTTACTCAAACATGTTGATGCATACAAATGCCAACAATAAATAGAATTAATGCGTTCTTCCAAGGCTCACTGGATATAATAAATTCGCATGGTATATAAAATATTTTTCGATTAATAGAAATTTGTGACTCGCGTGATTGTGATCAGTTACACTTAAAATCTTCAACGAGATCTTCAGGAAAACACTTCACTAATTTGCGTTTGCGATGATTCTGCAATTAAACATGTTTTCGTTAAATACGTTGAGTCAGCACCGAGCCAAAACTGTACATACTTGCCACCGAGGCGATATTATTTAATATGAACTCATATTTTTAATTTAGATAATTAAGTATAGATTTTAAGAGAGAAGATGTAAGCTTGGCGGTAAGTGAGTTGCATTTTAATGCAATTTCCGAATGTTTCCAATTTTACCGTATTGCGGTATTTCCTAATCCCTGTTGAATATCTTCGCCTGTCGCTTCATCTCGTCTTATTTCTGATCCCAGCATTCCGTCCGAATATAAATTGTCATGCGTAAAGTATAATTTATTTCGACGCGTTGAGCGGTCAGAAACGATCGAAACGTTAATAAATATATTACTAATTTTAGAAAGAGAAACGTCATGCATCGCCAGCCGTTTACGCGAATATATTTATTTCCCTCCTTACAATGAATAAATTATATTTTTTACGACATACGTGCAATGTTCGAGTCTATTCATTCTTACTTCAGTGACATCTCTTTGCAGATTTTGAACCGCTGGAAATTAAGCACTGGTCGATGTGAATGAACGAATATTCCTCGTTGGGCAAGCAATTTGCTTATAGTCGAAAAGCAAGCGCTACATTCACGGTATTTGATACACTGCACTGTGATCACGTACTGCTCATGTTACTATTGATTCTTATCCGAAAGGGTTTGCAGAAGTACTCACAGATGGTAGCGGTTCAATCCTTCGTGTACTGAGCAAGCGCAAAATCAGGCAGTTTGACATAATCACGAAGAGCGACTCAGTTAAACGATAATTTTCGTTCCGTGAACTGCAATGAACGTCAACGAAGGTAGAACATATCTCGGAAAAATAGCAAAAAGTTTGCACCACGATATTCTACTAAAAATAATAAATAAGCGTGCCCGCCGTCGAGTGAAATATAATACAATATAATATAAAACTTGCGTTTTCAATCATTTGTGTGTTAATAAGAACTCTTCATTCCGGTTAAAAATGTATAAAATTTTCCCAAAAATTAATTATAACTAAACTTCTATCCGTAAAGAAACAAGTTAAAGAAGAAATGTTATTAAATAATTTGTTCCATATAAAATATTATTTATGTTAATAATGTTTCGTTTTTAATATTTTTTTAATTTTACCTAATCAATTCTAACTAGTCATATTGTTTGACATTACAATTTACTTTTACTATCTTAGCGTTACAAAGATATTTCTTTTCTTAAAGCGACCACATATTCTGTTTGTTACTTAATATATGTTGCTTATGAAATGATTCCTTAGTAAGAGACGTTCAACATTATAATATATAATAATTTAATTCAGATAACTAACGGTTACTTATCAAATAAAAGGAATAATTCGCTTTCAACAATTTGTCGCAAAAACCCGCATTCATTTTTTGCCAGGTGTCTATACTATACATCTGTCATAAAAGTTCGGAACTTCGTGTTTCCGAGAACACGAAAGTTTCCGAGAATAGATACAAAACTTTCTATGCTAACAAAACCTTGCTTTCTCGACGTATAGATTGATCCAAAGTGTTTTTGAGTGGCAAAGTTGAACATGGTGCATAAATTGAACGGTTAATTCTGTTGATGTGTGCACGATCTACCTATTTCTTTCTTCTCTCCGTTATAGACAAAGAGTTTGTCGGAAACTTTAATTCTTAGAAAACCGAAGTACGATTAAAATAGCGTCAAAATAATAATACAAAATCTTATAAAAGAAGAAAAATCTTTTAAAAAGAGTTATAAATGTTATTACACTAAGAACACATACTTTAAATTTTTAGTTTAGTTGTAGTAAAATAATATGTATTATTTTTTACTTCTACTATTCATCTGTTTTTGATATTTCCCCTTAACAATTCCAATTAGTTGTAACTTATAATATTTTATGACAAATTGTAAGAAGTAACACAAATGAAGTGAAATTTACTATGAGTGCTACTTACAATTAGAGATACCTTTAACTACAAAACATTTTAAAAATATGACGCGGATTTTAAATTTATAAATAAATAAATGATTACGTCTCATGATTGCAAAACAGTAAAAAAATTTTTTTTAAATAACGTAGAGGGATAATGTTTCTTCTAAATGAGCAATAAGTAGAAATATTCCTTGTAAAATTTGATTTAATGATTAGATTTAAATTACGCCTTTGCGCTGAGTCGTCAATGTTTACGGATATTAGGCGTATGGCCAGATCCATTTACGCCTTTGAGTGATTTTCACCGGCCAAGCATAAGATTCATAATTGTTACGTGTATCCTGTGTCTTTACGTGATCGTGCCGCAATTAACGAATATGATCCTTGCTTGGGGTAATGTGGTTCGGATGGTGGAATACGTTGCCTCTGCGAACTTCAGCTTGATGGCACTATGCAAATTAGTCGGTACTTGGTATCACGGTGAAAGTAAGTTATTATATCGATATTTTTATCGTGAGAGATAAATGTAAAAAGAAATAAAAATTCGTTATTTAATTCTAATATCAATATTGTACAACAGTTTTATTTATGTAAAAATGGTCTCGTCCATCCATATACTATTCGTACTGATGTATTATGTTTAATCCGAAAGCGCTTCGAACGCTGATGACATCGGTCATGACCGATTGGATGACGTCGAAGAACGATCGAGAACGAAATACAATGTTAAATACTGCGAGACGTGGCAGAACCTTATCTCTTAGATGTTACGTGGCCTCCACGTGCACAGTCACGTTTTACATTTCTCTCAATCTGCTGAAGTTCTATCGAAATATGCACCAACCTCAACGGGCCCTCGTGTATCGGTTTACCTATCCTTACAACATTCAAAAGAGTCCGAACTACGAAATTACTTTTTTCACTCAACTTTCCGGCGGTACGTACTCGGCCCTCATCAACTGTACCGTCGACAGTTTCGTCTCGTTACTCGTGCTGCACATAAGCGCACAACTGATAAATCTACGAACGGCACTGAACGACCTAGTCGACAAACTAGCCAAAGGATCTATATCCTCCTCGACATTTAAGGAAGGTTTAGCCGCGATCACTGTCCGTCACGAACATCTCATCAGGTATGGCGACAAATTTCAAGGCAGATTATTTAGTAATTATTTAATATAGTGCAAAACATCTCTAAACATTTACAGCTATTTATTCATAAGATATCATTATTAATTATTTGTGATAACTTAAAATAAAATTCAATGTGTGTCTCTCTCTCTCTCTCTCTCTCTCTCTCTCTCTCTCTTTCATATTTATAAGAAGAGATGTATACAATGTCCCATAGACAAAAAATACTTCCCAATTAAGATAGTTCTTTTTTAAATATAATATAATTCTAAAGATTCTACAAATTTAAAAAAAATTCAAGATTATCGGACTTAAATGTGGACAATTAAAAAGTGAGATATCAGTTTACTTAAAAAATTGAGATCCTATATATTAAATCTTTTTTAAAATTTGTACATTAAAATAATTATAATTAATCGATAATTAATTAGAATATGAAATATATGAATTTTTAAGGAACGCAAAGATAGTTGACGACTGCTACAGCGCAGTGTTATTTGTACACATGTTTGCCGCTACTTTTCAACTGTGTTTTGAAAGCTTTCAAGTTTTCACGGTAAGTGAGATGATTTATTTTGTTTTCTTTATGCAACAGAAAAGTTTAATACCTGTTTCAATTTTTTAGTTTAATAGTAATGTTTCTTTGATAGAGTTGAGATATAGATTAAAATTTTACGGTTGATTATTATAAACAATTGTTGAACTTAAAAATAAAAAAGCATTATTTTCAGATAGTATCAAATCATTTGGATGTACCTCTTGTTAAAGTGTGTTTTCTCTCGTTTTACGTCCTTCTTGTATTGACACATTTGTATATTTATTGTTACTCAGCTGAAAGACTTTTAACGGAGGTAAAGTAGAACTATGTATATCAAAAGCGATTATTTTGTGTAAACCAGAAATATAATTTTCAGAGCACCAGTATGGCGTATGGCGTGTATGAATGCAAGTGGTACGATATATCACCGAAAGACGCGAAAAATTTAATGTTTATGGCGTATCGATCTACAGTTCCACTTAGATTGACGGCTGGAAAATTTGGTGCTTTTTCATTAGAAATGTTCGGAACAGTAAGATATCTAATAGAAAAAACATTTTATTTTCCGCACAACAAAAATCTCATTTTTAGCCTACAGAGAGAGACAGGGAGAGACAAAAAACACAATAATAAACATTTCTAATATTTAATAAAGTTTTTATTTTTCGCGTTCTAAAGTAATTTATACTTTATTAAAAAAATTAAAAATGTTCTCTTTCGATCCTACTAATTGAAAAAGATACTTTTACAACTTATTAAATTAAATCCGAGCTGCAGTTGCTCGAAGCAGAATGGCTCAAAATTCTGCACCATCATACACATATATATCACGGTTGCATCTCATGCCAAGTTCTCTGTAAGCTGAATATTGTGCTTTTTAAATATATTATATAATAAACTAAGGGTATCAAAATAGTATCATTTTTATTAAACCGATAAGACAAAAATCGGAAATTATATTTTACTTTTATTCTACACAGACAGTGAAAACGTCAATGGGATACCTATCTGCATTGCTGACAATGATGGATTAGAGTATAATGCTGGAATGATACTAAATTAATTGCGATACTTGATTACTACTTATTTTCTATATACTGTGTTAATAGGATTACATATATTATTATACCTAAAATGTAATTTTTGCTGGATAAATATGTTTTTGTGCAACAAAACATATTATTTATTTATCATTTTTCGGCGTTACAACTTAATTTCTTAATTAAAAAAATGATGCTACAAGGGAACTGTGCCTAATATCGTACCACATTTTTAAAAACCAAAATTTTGACTAAAAACTTTTATAAAAATATAACTAAACCGCATCATTTTATTCTAGGATTATCATAATATGATCTCTATAGCATGAATGTGTTCAAGGTTTATTTTAACTATTTTTTCTGAAAAACGTAGCATTTTTCGACATCGAAAAAAAATGTTTTTAATATCGCACCCTTACACCATTATTTTTGTTAAATTTTGTTAAATTTTGTACAATCATGACACGCAATATATGTTGGAAATAGAAACAACTTAAAATAGAACACATAAGGTTGGTAAAAAAAATACCCTCTTTTAACGATTAAGAAAGTCCATGGGGTTTCACGGACTATAGGGTGAAGTGATGTAGTCATCCTGCCTGGCCGATTTACTCTTGGAAACATCTTGTTACACATTGGAGACTGAGGGAGCTTCATAGATATTCTAAAAGCAGACCAATTAGGAAAAATGGACGGTATAATGAATATTCGAGGGCGGAATTAGAAATAGCGCACGGAAGAAACATAATTAAAGCGTCAAAATAATAGTTAGCCACAAATATCTCTAATTTAGGAATAAAATTAGACACAATATAACATGTTTTAAGCAGAAATTCGTTTTTAGCACATATTTTTTTGCTGTATTAATAACGTAAGATACCTCTTGCGGAATTTCGAAACCTCGTTAAAACTATAAACTGTCACGCTACTTTTCATATCACATTTCTAACTGAAGTAAAACAAAAGATTATCCAAAGCAGCGTTGTTCAACAGTTTCCACTGCTCACTGACAGAATGAAACACGTAACAGTATCGTAGTCTCAATATCGTAGGGTGCGGAATGAAGAACAAGGGCGATATTAGACACAGTTCCCCTACACATAAATTGTAAAATTATTTCAAAAAGCTAATAAAACTATGCTCATTATTAACAATACAATATAATTTATTTACCTTCGTGCAAATCTTTCGTGCAACTTAATCTATTGACCTAGTATCAATAAGAAACAGTACGTGATATTTGGCTAGTTTTAAAAGGCGATCGCTTGTATATCAACGATGTAGAGAAGTTGTCATGAAAACTTGTCGGGATATTCTCAATAATTTTTTTAAACGCAACGCTAACGAAAAATTACGCCATCCAAAAATGAAAAAACCAATTGTACAGACGACGACAATGACGTTTCATAAATGTACATTTGCCGACAATTACGACTCGCGTAATTGTATAATTAGTTACATTTAAAATCTTTAACGTAATCTTTAGAAATGTACTTCACTAATGTGCGTTTGCGATGATTTTGTAATTAAATGTTTTAAATCAAGTACGTTTAGTCAATACCGAGCCAAAAATGTGCACATTTGTAATCGAGACGATTTTATTTAATATGCACTCATGTTTGTAATTTAGACTATCACGTATAGAATTTAAGAGAGAAGATGTAAGCTGTAAGCGGTAAGTGAGTTGCATTCTCTGCAATTTTCGAATGTTTCCACGTTCACCATATCCCGATATTTCCTAATCACGCTTTGGTGAATATTTCTGCCTTTATCTCGTCTCATTTCTGATGCCTGCATTCCGTCCGAAATTATGCGCCATGCTTGAAGTATAATTTATTTCGATGCGTTGAGAGGTCAGAAACGATCGAAACGTTACTAAATATTACTAATTTTAGAAAGAGAACGTCGCCAGCCGTTACGCGAATGTATTTATTTCTCCCCTTACCACGAATAAATGATATTTTTTACGACATACGTGC